ACAAATCCAGTGTCAGAATGTACCTGGTTATAAAACATTCGTCACTGAAGTGATTGGAACAACAAACACACTCGTGAAACTCCATTGCTGCCCCGGAAAAAAAACTTTTTTTTTTTTTTTAAATAAAACTCGGAGAACAAATTCCCTGTTTGCTCTTCTGAGATGCAGGAACTTTGAAAGCACACTTCTACTGCTCAGCCATCACTAATCAGCAACACACACTATGGGGATTCGAGGGACTGTGGGTCAATGTGTCCACAAACACATTTGTATAAAACCCTCCTCTTCTTATGAGTACAAAAGATATACAGCAGGGCTGTTGAGGTTGGCATCAATTATACATATGGATATTTGAGAGAAACAGAAAAGCCCCATTAGATTTTCATAAAGGGTTTCTCTGAATCTTCCTGTCTTATTATACATCAAGCACAGCAGCCAGAAGGAGACCTAGAGGACAAAGGCATTAGATAAATGATCAAATGAAGTATAAGTGCCATTTCAGACACTGCTTACATGACCTTTAAACAGCTCTGATATTTTCTGCTTTCCTTTTAAGTTAAATAGTCCGTATAGAAAAACATATAGAGATAGAGACAAAGACCACATTTTGTTTACATTACCACTTAAGTGGATCATCAGTATCTCACCAAAAAAAAGACCATACAGAGCTATTCATAATCCTAGGACCCCCGAGTGTTTGGGTCCTTGAGCTGTAGCGGGGTTGACAGTGGCAGAGAGTTAGATAAATGGGGAAGGAGCACCCCGATCAATACTAACCTGGACTGCCCACCCAGGAGAGAGAGACAAGAATTGGGACAGAGTGGTAAATATGAGCTTAACAGATGGAAGCATCTGTGAGCTTCTTCTGAAAGTCTTATAACATTGTATACGCCTGTGCCGTAATGCCACATTAAATCTGTGGTAAGACAATGCCCGCTGTCAGTGTGAGCATTTCCTCTTACGAGGCAAGAAGTAGATATTGTTTCTCATTAAAATCCCATAAGCCAAAATCATAGTATTCAGTTTTCTACAACAGCTGTTCGCTATTTGCTGTTAGTATGTGGTGTATGGAGTCATTATCTGAACTATTAAGATGACTAATTAGCAATCTTTTTTCTAGAACGTGTGCATTATATCAATTCCTTGGAGTGCACAGTGTTATATTAAAGTAGAGTAGCACTTGTTGTTTGTCATTTCTCCGATCACAAATGCAGACATGGTTTTATGTTTACGCGGCGCGATGCAATGCAACGTGTAAAAAGACAGTATAAGTCATTATAATCCGTAATTATGTCCCCACTGGATGCAACAAATGCCTAGTTTATAATGGGTTTTAATGTTTTTGTCTCATCGCTCCGGCCGGACAGGGCATCACAATATGTTAAGGGGAGTAAAATTGCCGTCACATGCTTATATATTTAAGGAGACTGGAGGTAATTGTCAAAGAATAAAGTTCACAAGGACTGTATTTTAGCAACTGTAAGGTTGCCACATACCTTTTAAATGCAATATATATTTTTTCCCAATTCAATAGTTTTTTCTGTATAGAAAAAAATGCAAAAAGTCCATAAATAATGTAACCTATACAGTGTGACAAAAGGTCAATGTGAGTCAAATACATTTTCTTTGTCTAATCTAATTGTCTATTTTTTTCCTGAGCGAGTGACAATTTTAACAGCTTCTTTATAGTCAAGATTGTATAGTACGTGTATATACAAAAATAATAAACATTCACTGCAGTATAAAATGTGACTAGTCACAATCTCATTTTATATTTAATTATTTCTTTAATATTGTGACATAAATTTTGAGTTCCAAAATGTTCTCAGTTGACAATATACACACGTCACCATAACGCTCTGTTTTACTCTCTGAATAATATTCAGAGATATTTCCACATGTTCAGTGCATAACATCTGTGCCACAATTCTACACTATTCTATTCTCCAGGCAAGGATGATGATGGTATGGAAATGTCAGGAAGGATAAGTCCTATGGACTTATGTCATTCCATTTGCACCAAATTCCTACATTCAGAGGTCACATCAATAAGTCTTTATTTGAACCACATGCATCATTAATCATTCAAACTCACGTCTGTCATCACAGAGGACTAATGTGCCGTCTATAGATCTGTCCTGCTTTGAGGGTCACCCTTCACTTTAAAAAGTGTCATTGATTTCTCTGCTTTCACACCAAAGACCTGTGAGAATATGTGACATTCTGTTTCAGTCTGAATTCTCTTTTTCAATGTGACAAATTATTCAAATACAATTACATGTAATAAAATGATTCATGATTAAATGGAAAAAAATTATAATAAACAATCATCTGAGAAACATAAACAATATCACTTGAGCATGGTAATCTGCAGCCTTAATAATCCTAAAAACAGCACAACTGCGAGTGTTATATTGTCAATCCAGTTTTATTAAACAACAGGTTAATACTGAGTCACTTACATTTAGCTTTATCTGTTTTTGGCCCGCCAACACAACTATTTCCAAAAAATGGCAACACACACAGTAGTGGTGTTTCATTCCTGAATAAATGAGCGTTTTTTGAACAAATAGGTTGAATGAATGATTCAGTGACTCACTCATAAAGACGCACTTGTTTCGTCCCTGAATGAATCAGATTGTTTGAACGAATTGGCTGAATGAATGACTCAATGATTCACTTATAAAAACAGTCACTTGTTGCCACCTACTGGTGTAACATGTAACCTACAAAACAACACTAATGGATTACAACTATTCATAAAAATTATAACATCTTTATCTGAATGTCAAATTAATAATTCATACTGTCAGTTAATCAATACATAAAGAATTACCATCGTTGGCTAATGAGCAAATTACACGGGTCATAGAGTGATTTATTGTAGAATAAACCCTTCCGATAAATCATCAGCAGCACATTCGTATGACAGTTGCTAAGCTTCTCCTTAGTTGTAAATATCTCCAAACAAACTAATTGGGCCACATAACTCTGCATATGGTATCCAAATTACTGATATTTTATGCCTTTTGTAATCTTTAACTTTATTTTGAACTAATGCACGGTGTTTACCAATAATACATTCTGTAGAAAAGAAAATCCTTTTTGAGCAGCTGTTAAATGAAGGATGGTTTTGCACTCTGCTTATGAAATGAAAGGAGAAATGAAAGACATTGCTTATTAGGTACAGAACAACCTCTGGTAATTTCTTCCTCAAAAGAAGCATTTATAAGCAGAACAAAAAGAGTGCCTAATTATGCGTTCTTCAGCAAACTACAGAGATTTTGTCTAACCATGAAAGCATTTCTTAAGACTGCAAGCACAAAGGGATTTGTGACTAGATGTAATGCTTCTCTATTCTATATATTTCTGTTTTTAACATGCCCATATTTACATAAATGTGCAAGTGTTGTTATGTTTTTATGATCCTTTTAACCAAAGGACCGGCCTCTTTAAAGCAAACGACATAGAGCATCAAATGGTGGTTTGGGGGAGTCTGACAGAGCATAATGTTTATCTCCCACCATTCAGATATTTGTGTTACAGTACAGTTCATGCTGTGCTTGTTATGAATTATGAAAAAGACTGAATTATTATGTAACTTGCTTTTAAAAGGTTGAGTTTCCACCTTTGAGAATTTGAAAAAAGGTTAAATCATTACATTGGATGGCTTGATGAAAATAATTGTGATGCTATTTTTCTTTCTCCTTTTTTCAGAAGACCACTGGGGACTTTGCAATACATCAGAGGGTAAGTGTGATAGATGTTCAATGTTTTTTTTTATTATTAATGCAAAATTAAATCCATACATTCCAATCTGATATGATTTGCTTATAAAAATAGCACATTTTCTAACAAAATATAAAACCAGATGCCTGACACTTATAACAGTGTTTTTATTTATTTATTTTTGTCCTCTGTTTTTCTTACTGCATTTATAAATAAAATATTTATTTAAAAAATCAAATCCAAGTTGATGGTGGAGGAAAAAGAGAATTTGAAGGTTCAATGTAGTGGGCAGCGTTTTCTTGTCAGTCTAACAAAAGCATCACACTGCCTTGTGTTAAAAGTTCAGCAGGGTAAATCTTTATCACTTTCAAACCTTCATTGTAAAGTACTGTTTTTGTTTAGTCCTCAAACAAAAACAATGTAATGCAACTGGCAGCATACAGTGTAACAAAACAGCATTTCAGTCAATTTAATATCTGATTTTGCTTCACACAGGGAAAATTGTGGTCTCTACCTACCCAGGAGCTAAATCAATGCAAAGACATCACTCAGTTGTGAAGCTCACCTCCCCTCCTTCTTAAAAATCATTTGAAATACCTCTATGAGAGATGTACATAAAGACAATCAGGGGAAAATAAAAATACACCATAGACTGGCCACTCCTCATGCCAGTCACACTTAAAGTAACACCTCTCGCAAAATAAGCGTCATAAGTGGCCCACACTAAAGAAAACAATAGCAGCCTGTGTCTGATAACAGATAGAGAGGACGTGTAAATAAATCACACTGTGCATGAAATCCGTGGAGTCCAATGTTTTTTGCAAATGCACTCAGCCTCATAAAGGATCTTTATTAGACCCACACTGGGGCACTTTGTCAGGTTTCGGAGACACCGATGACTGTTATATCTCTGCTGGTAAAGAGCAGGGCCCAGATGAAAAATTAAATAGAAAAATTAATGGTTGTCCGCAAAGACAAATTATAGAAGCTGGTTATTTCACATAGACTAGGTTCACACAACGTACAGTGGGGCAAAAAAGTATTTAGTCAGCCACCAATTGTGCAAGTTCTCCCACTTAAAAAGATGAGAGAGGCCTGTAATTTTCATCATAGGTATACCTCAACTATGAGAGACAAAATGAGAAAAAAAATCCAGAAAATCACATTGTAGGATTGTTAAAGAATTAATTGGTAAATTCCTCGGTAAAATAAGTATTTGGTCACCTACAAACAAACAAGATAATTTATTATTATTATTATTATTATTATTATTGAAAGTCTCTTATGTATGGAAGCTTGTTTCTGCCACAGGGTAAAAAAAATCTAAATCTAAATTTAAAATCAGAATTTCAGGATATAAACATTTTAATATTACAATGAAATTTCATTTATAAAAAAATTAAATTTAAAAATATAAAATGTCTGAATTGTGAGATAAAAACTTGCAAATGCAAAAAATAACATTTAAAATTATGAGATAAATGTCAACAGAATTGCGAGATTTAAACTGAGAATTCTGAGGAAAAAGTCAGAATTTCGAGATGTAAACTCAGAATTCATTGTTTATTTCATGCAATTCTGAAAACAGTTTAAGATTCTTTGATTAATAGAAAGTTTTAAAAAACAGCATTTATTTGCAACTTGTAACAGTGTAAAACAGTCTTTACTGTCACTTTTGATAAAATGTAATCTGTCCTTGCTGAAGAAAAGTGTTAATTTCTTTCAAAAATAAAACTTATTTCCCCAAACCTCTGAACAGCAATATGTTTACATGCAGTTTAAAAACTAGTTCGGACTACAACAATAATTTGTCTATTTAAATGCTAAAAGAATGCTTAAAAATGCTAAATGCTTAGAAAAAGAATGAGTTGTGACTCTTGATTTTCATAATAAAGTGTGTGTAAACTGTATTTAGCACTAAGGACAGATACTGTATTCTGCTTTGGTGTGAATATAGCCACACACACAGCTAGACCTTCTCCCTCCAAGATGAGAATGGATGGATTCAGGGTCCAGACTTCAATTCACAGAAAGGCTTTTGTAGTTAAAAGGCCAGACCGTTATATTACAGCATGGCCTTTTTCAAAAGCATTTGGCAGAAAGTGGATTAAGTTATTGATTCGTGGAAAATGTCACAGCATAAATATTTGCGTTTTAATAGAGTACAGTGCAATCAGTGTTGACTTGTCTCAATGAGTTTTTCATTTCAGCTCTACAGCAGAAACTGTTGCCACAATTCATGCGCTTCTCAAATAAGGGCTTATGAGTTCAGCATTGCTGAATGATTAGCATGCAAAACGAAATGAATTACTTTCATTGATTGAGTTTCACACTGTTATTAGCAGCAATGAAGACAGACAAGAGGCCATGGATGACTTGGCTCTTTGTGGCGGAAAACGTTGACGTTAAAGCATATATCTCGTGGGATCTCACTTAACCTTTTTGTTTCACAGTTTAAACGTGATAAATGACTGCATTAAATGAAAGTGAAACATTTTATTATCCTTGACAGCTGTGGAGTACCTTGGCTTTCAGGCCTTTTCTTTTATGTGGAATTTGACTGTTAACTGACAATAGTTCATTGTCATTTACTGGTATTATTTGTTGCAGATTATTTTATTTATTAATTAATAGCATGAATCACCATCTCTGAAACTTACTTTACCTCAAACTTTTAAACTAGGTCATCTGTTTGAGAATGCATGAGGTAGTCCCTTAGTTTTATACATATATATATATATAATATATATAATTTTTTTTCCCCTTGAGGTCAGTCCTCAGAGATCCTTTGTAGGAAGTTTGGAGGCCATTATGTCACCAGGACAAAAAGGGAAAGATGCCATTTTAATTAAAGTTGGCAGATTTACCATCCACATAGGTTTTAAAACATCACCCGTCTGTGCAGATCGAGGCCGAAGTACAAGCGATAAAAATGATTTATGCTAGCCAGGGCAGCGGAGAGATTTCTCTAAGGAATTGGTGGAGGAATTAGCACAGGCATTGGAAGCCTGTACTGTAAAGAGGAGGAATGGCATTAGATTCATACCCTTAAAAAGCAAAAGGCGCAGCCGGGCCAAACAATCAGTTACTCTACCTCAACATGGGCCCTACCTCAACTCCTACCTTGAGACTTATTTTCAACCTGGGTTAAGAAGATAAAGGATGGTAGATCTCTATAGATCCCATATTTTCATTAGGCTGTTTAATTAGTTTCACACTAGTTTAAACCAGTTATATTGGAAGACTATGAATGACAATCAATGAGAAAATTAATTAACAACAGGACATGCTGATTAAGTAATCAAATTAACTGTATACATCTGTGCTGTTATTGTTAACTAAAACTATTCAAAATCGTTTTCAGTAACTAAAATTAAATGAGTTGCCTTGGCAACTAAAATTACCACAAGTAAATAAAAGCAAGATAAATAGATATATTTTAAAAATAATAATACAAATTACAAAAACCAAACACAATTATTAACAATAAAATTAAAAATATTAAAAATAAAATCTTAATAATACTAAAATAACACTGGCGTATATTAATATTTGCTGAGAAAAATCCTCCAGGTCATAAAAAGAAAAATTAAAGACATTGGATTACTGAAGTAGACATTATAAAAAGTGGCTGAATGATTCAGCTTTTTTGAACTAATCATTTGCGAATAATGTAATGTCCCACTAATTAAGACAACCACTTACTTGAGTATATTTTTTCAGTACTCTTTCCACCCCTGGCTGTACACATACGCTGAGCCGCTTCAGACAGCTCACCAGTAGCGCTTCAACGCACGAAAACACACAAATTATGTAAAAATGCCCGGTTTTGGCGAGTTACCTTGTAAACGGAGTTATAAATGACCGTAAAAAGTTGGAATGAAAATCGGATGTGAGTCAGATCTGCGTCATCAGGTTTTAAAGAGACAGCACTGATTTTAAAGTGAAACCTGCTGAAGTCTGTCATTGATGTATATCAAAGAACAAAATAAAAAGAGAAATCCTTGGACTGTTCTAGTCGCTGATCAACTTTTATAGCTTGAATAAAGATTAATATGTATAATTTACGCATATATAATATAGTTTATGTAAAGATTGTTTTAAAATCACTTAAATTAAAAGTTATAAATTTCAGAGCCTATTAAATGTTACAAATAATGGCTTTCAATTATACTGTAATGTTGAATGGCTATAATTAATAGGGAAAATGCACCAGCAGGACAAATTAAAAACATTGTAAATATGTTTAGTTATTGTAGTAGTATAACCGCCTGTTTTTGCAAAAAGATTTTCATGGACGGTAAAAAAATTTTAGCCGGTACATGTCACCGGCCATTGCCAGGTGTGGCAAAAAGTTAGTTTTAGGCCCTGTTTTAGATACTCTTTTCCACAGTACAGTTTCAGTGCTAAATAAAATTATAATTCCCGTTCCAAGATATACTATTTAAAATTCAATGCAACATTTATAAGTCTTCATCTAGTACAGATCATTATTTTTGTGGCTGTAGGATCTGCACCTCTCTGTCATAATAGAGAGATGGCCTAAATCCCTTAATTATAATCCTGATCTTCCAGTTGCACGTCCTTAGTTAGTATGCTTTCAGCCAAGAAAAATCCTGTGCAAAAAGAATCCAAAACACTTGGACTGGTTCCCTTAAGCTCACATCTTTACATGTTTACAGAAAAAGAGTACCAAGGAAAATGAGAGCTTGCTTTGTTGATATTACCACTTTGACCTCAGTACAGTTCAGAGTCAAAGACTAGCTCTCATAGCGCTCAGCTGTTGGTAATGGTCTCAGAAGCTTCGTTTCTATACTTAGGCAGCCAGTTTTGAGGAAGAAAAGACTAATGTTTGAAGCATTTATGTGTGCAAAGGGTCTGCAAAGACTCGAGGCACCAGATGCTGGAGAAATAAAAGCAGGACCTTCAAAAACATTACACTCCCTTTGTTTCTCCACCTCAAACAGCTCATTCTGCTGAGAGTCCCTCTTTCCCATGAAACAAAGCTGAATTGATTCAGT